GATAAGTGAGATCTGTGAATTTTAGTTTCCTGTTGTACATACTCGAAAGTTTGAGAGTTAAGTTATCCAGACTATTATAAAGCAAGAAAGAGCCAAACCATATAAAGTGTAAAAGAGTTGGACTTTTGTAAATCTTTGACGAAGGCAACACAGATACATGAGACCTGGTGACTCTTTAATTTTCAAACCCGCAGGGAGAACAGAGGTAAGATTCCTTCCAAACCATGAAGAAAAATCACAAATGCATGGCTTGCACTCTCCTGCTCTTGCTTTTGGTTGTGCCTGCCATTGTTTTTCTAGCCCGCCATCACCACCACCGCTCAGCCAAACAAAACCCACCAAGCGAAGAAGCTCTGGAAGTGTGGGACGAAGTCTCCAAGCTCTCACAGCATGATCTTAAGTGTCTGGCACTCTTCATCTCCCCGCTCACCACAATCTCCACCAAAACCTATGGATGCCTGCCTCCATCCCCAGCTGGAAGTCATCTCCAAACTTCCAACACTTGAGCCCTCCTCAGACTCCAAAGCTTGGGGCCCAGTGTACAATGAAGACACCACCTCCGCTAACAAACACCTTATGGTTGTGTTCCGGGGCACCTCCACCCAGGCAAACACATGTGTCAATCGGATCCTGTTTGGAGAGCTACCAAGGACGTCACTTACAAGTCCGAGCTCTTGCCTCTCCACCTATTCCAACCAGACCTCGACTACATCTCCCACGGTGTGAGCTACACACACCAAGTTGTGGAGGTGTGTCCAAACGCATCGCTTCTACTCATTGGGTGCCAGACTCACAGTTCTCATCTAGGCATTGCTCGCTGGACCTGCTGCTGTTGTTGCTGTCAGCAGCCTGGGAGCTGGAGGCTCACTGCAGTTGTGGTCCTTTCAGCTCTCTTACGAGATGAATCGTAACATGGCTGTGATTGGAAATGGGTGGGATTCCGTGTTCACGGTGTCATGGGACAACATTGGCACGGTTTGTTTGGTGTAGCACCAGGGAGCATTGGACAGTGTGGCTTGTTCAGTGAGTGATGGGAGCTCCTTCCAGGCACACAGCCCGAATGGGATTCTCGATAAACTACAGATAGGAGACAAAATATACGTGCTTAGTGCATTAGAGAGCAAGTGTGTGCTAGAAAAACTTACTGTGCATCTGTGAGGTGTTTGTGACTTGCAATAAACAGCCATCCTGGATTTGCTAGAATGCAAACACATGCTTGAAGAACCATCACAATGTTAGTCATTTTATAAAAAAAACAAAGCTCACTGGTTTCTGTTGTATTGATCACGATGCCATTGATCAGCTTCACTGGACTGGAGAAACATCACAAGGCACCTTGGATTCACTTGAATGTTAGAGTACTTGGAGAAGTAGCACATTGGTTTTTTCTTCTGAGCAATACCTGTATCGTTCAGAAATTCTGAACACTCTCTTGCATTTTAGACACATTTGAGGTCGCATCAGTTAAAGCCTCCATGTTGTGCTTTGCATCTTTGACAAAATCAAAAGCTTATTGT